GGCTTTGGTATCACACTGCTTATTAGAAAACTGTCAGGTAAACACACTGGCTGAAAAAACAGCCTACCTACACTCATCCAAAGCAAACACTTAGCACATTTAGGCTTTGGGATCCCTTTTGTCTTTATTTAGAAAAGCTGTTGTCAGGTTTCTTTTGCAAATGAAATTAAACTGGATTTGTAGGCAGCTCATCAGGAGATTAGAGACAAATGTCTTACAACAAACATTTCTGGCCTTTAGAAGGTCGAATTCTGACTCAATCTGTGATGCTATGTAATTAGAAGGGCACATCTTATCCTATGATCATCTCCTAAATCACACCATATCATGAATGTCTCTCTCAAATGCCTTTCCATCCTGATCGTTTTCAGCCAGTGGCTATCACTGGGCATCATCCATCAGTTTCAGAAGGGACTAGACATTATCAACACTGACAACTATTTAGACTCCAAGTCATAAAAGGTATTCTTGCAGAACAAAGTACAGTCAACACTTCTAAAATTATTCTGAAGTTCAGTCAGACAAGGTGAGCTGCCCTGAGCAGGTGAAAAAGGAATGGAGTAGCATTTGATCATCCTGTTAGTGCAGAGCTGGATGACTCAAAAAATTGCTAAGCATAAGCAGGAGAATAAAAAAGTAAAGAGGCTATGTCAGTTCAACAAATGTGGAGAGATCTGATGTGTCGTAGACAAGAGATGGCTCAGCAGCAAGTTCTGAGAAGGATTTGGAGTCGACCTAGCAGATAAAAGAAGGCTTTTCTTCCTTTGAGAAAAGGGAAAACCTTCCAGATTTAAGAGATGGAGCCACTGATAGCAGGAACCATTGAGCAAATAAAGTTTGTAAATTCTAATTGAGCAAGATGAAGGAGGAGAACTAGAGGGATTTCCCTCAGGGGACAGGGATCAGGGCTATGATGTCCCCATTGTTGCCCCCACAGAGAAAAACTTTCAGATGTAAAGTAGAGTTAGGCAGAGAGGAAGAGTAGAAGAGGAATGTAGTCTCACTTCAAACTTTGGGGGAAAAACACTATGTGTCATCAGTCACTTAACTTTTCCTCAAGAAATTTCAAACATATAAAAAATAAACCAAAGAGAAATTATTTGCCCTGAGCCATTAAGATGAGTCAGACACTTTCATACAGAATTTAAGTATGCTGAGTCCCATTTCAGTGCTCTGTTGCTTCCTTACCAAACTCTCTTCAGTTGAGATGTTCAACAATCCTTTCTACATTTGCATGCAAATGTATTCTCTCTCTTCATGACTGTAACACACAGTGCCCTGCAGGAAGCAACATGAGGAAGCATAGGGTCAGCCAAGCCAAAGTCTGCTGGGCTTAAAAACTGTCAACATCCTTACTGCTCTTTCCTTTATTGATCCTGACCCTCTCAAACTGTTATATTAGTATCTTAGAAGCAAACTGAGGGCCCTACTACACATTAGGGGGGAAGAAAAAAAAAAAGAATAAATGTGTGCAGAAGCCAACAGAGTGGAAAATAAGTTTCATAAATAAAAAGCATGGGAATGCTCAATATCCTTAGTGACAGAAATGCAGGGGTGGGAATGAGAGGTCTCAGTAAAGATTACCTCAGGGATTGTAGGGTATTACCATTTGCTTTATAAACAGCAGAATTAAAACAGGTACATTCACAGGGCCTTGCTGGGATTGTTAGAGCATTGTAACGACTACACTGGAAAGCTTTCTAGATAAGGGCTGCTTGACAAGCATGCTTCGGATGCCGTGTTCTGTGTGGGGGTAGAGAAATGAAAATGCAGAAGAATAGATGAATGATTTTTTGTGTCTTAAAAGGCTTAAATTAAAGGATTATTTTTTTTCTTTCTTCTGTTTTGTGTTTCTGAAGTTTGTTTTTAAACTGACAGTGCAACCTGAGATGTAGTCTAATGTATTTCTTTATCACCTTTCAGGCTTGGGGAACAAATGAAATTCTTGTCACAGTCCACTATTTCCTTTTAGAAACAGTGAAAGACCTTTATTCTTTCCATTCCTCTTCTGTTTAGAAACAGGTACAAGTAAGTACTTCAGATGTACAGGCTTAATTGGTAAGGGTATATAAATTGTCTTTGACGCAAAACCCATTTCTCTGACAATAGGTATTTGAGTATTTGCACTCAGAATCTTCATCTTGCATTAAAATTATCAAAACTGAAACAGTTAATCAGGAGTTTGCCAAATACATTTGTTTATGAGAATTCATTGAACATTTCTAAATATTAAAATTATTAAAATTATTATGTATTAATGCTTTTATAGATCTTTAATCTGGGAAAAGTCTATTACTATTGATAGGGTTTTTTGCAATGGTTCACATAAGGCTTTGTTAATTATACCCATTGAACATCAAGAGATATCCATTCAATGGCAGTAGTTATCTGGGTTATAAAATTACATAAAATTTCATTTGAGATTTTTTCCCCCTCAAGGAATAACAATTTTCATATCAGATTATTAGAATACTGAGATTGCATTGTAATATAAAAACAAATGTATTTTAGAAAGTAACTCTAGAGTTCAAAATTTCCCAACTGATTTCTTTTTATTTGAATGGATTAAATGTTGTGCAAAATGCACACCCTCCCAGAATATACAGGTTTCAGAAGAAACAAATATATTTAATAGGCTTTAAACAAAACAAGGCCAATACTTCTGAAACACCAATAAGATGTGAAAATTTAAATGCATTTATGTCTTGTATACAGTGTAATTTCACTATTAACTCAGTACTATTTTATTGCATAATATTCAGTTATGAAACAATTTGTTTTACACATCAAATTAAATCAAAAACACAATGCAAAGTACAGTCTATTTCTCTGAGATATACATACTACCATATTGAAGCTGTCACTTTTCATGCTAGTGATAATCTTATAGTCATGCATTTAGAAGCATATGGGTTATTCACATAAAAGAAAACAATATATTGGCAGAAGTCACATATTCTCAAGAATGTGTATTTTGTTATTTACATGCTGATACTTCTTTGTCAGATTCATAATTACACAGAAGTACACAGTGAATTGCTGTTCTAACCTATAGAAGATATGTTTGTCAAAATAACAACTAATATACTATCAATCTAAAAATATTAAAATTTTACCTTTTTTTGCATTTTAATTTTCTGTAAAAGTCAACACAGATACCATATAAACTGGTAAGCTTTAGCAGAATTTAGTATGTTCAATCTGAGATAAAAGTCAGGTATACTCTTGCTTTGAGAAGAGTTCAAGGATTTGGTCAGAAGTGGAAAAATCCACAAGCCTTCTCCCTTTCATATGTCTGCTTTGTTGGAGATTATATTAAAATGTCCTTTTTCCAGAATTTTTATCTGTCTGTCATTATTTTTCTTCTTCTTACTCTGTTATATAAATACTGTTAAATATACAGTGTATTACTGTCCATATAACTTTGTTGAGGAGAGCAGGGCCACATTCCTGCTTCCATTCAACACTGTTAGCTGGAGAAGAGCCATAGATTCCAAAATGTTGCTGGGTCAAGCAGCTATCTTTTTATGTTTCCAGTGAAATACCCATTGTGGTGAATTTATTTGAAGATGGCTGAAAGGGAATCACTGGTCCAACATCTCTGTACTTTCGACATTGAAGCATTTCCAATGGCTTTAAGTAACTGGTTAAAAGAAGGATCTCAGTGCTATTCTTTGTATGAGTTAAGTGATGCTGTTATTACTTGACGATTCAGTGTTCTGTTCTCAGTTTGCCACATCACATCTCACTCACAGAGAGAAAATAACTCCTTGCTCTTCCATTTCAAAATTCCCTAGCCTTTTTTTACGCTATTGTAAATTTGGTGTGAAGTTCAATCACTGTCAACAAAGCAGTACCTGATTGGAAAAATGGTCTAAGATTAAGATTATACTAGGCACTTAAGATCTGGGACAAAAGTGCATCCAATAATAATAGAAATATTAGAAATAATAGAAAACAATATAAATATATAACACCATATAAATAAACAGAAAGTCTTTCTTGCATCTTCTGAAAATTTTCATAGTATCACATGAAAATAAAAGGTTCCTCATTTACTAAATAATAGTCTTAAGAAATAAAGCATTCTCTTTTATAAAAGCTGCTCCTCTCTTCAAAAATTGCCTTTAGAGTTCACAGGAAAATTTAGATTAGAAATTATCTCAGCAGGTCTTTAATCCCACCTCTTCCTCAAAAGAGCATGAGCTACAAGATCTAACCAAGCTTTGTTCAATGTGTCCATGAAAACCTCCAAGAATGCAGACTGCATAGCCTTCCAAAGCAATTCATTCTAATGTTTGACTGTCATTGTGACAATAAGGTTCTCCCTTATGTCCAGCCTGAACTTTTATTTTTGTCATTATCTCTTTTCCTCTCCCAATACACACTGTCAAAAGCCTGGCTCTGGGTTTTGATGGCCTTCTCTTGGGTGCTGGAGGGCTTCTGAATCTCTTCTCTAAGTCTATGTGGCTTTGTGAAAGCATTTATTACTTCAAGAAATTTTTGTTGGCCACAGACAACCAAAGTTCCTTCTTTTAATAAAATCTCTTCATGTAACTTCAAGATTAATTTGAAATAGCCCAAGCATTTACTACATTGAAGAAACAATCAGAGGCTCACATTTATCCTGGTCTTGAATTCTCTCTAAGACACATATAAAACAGCATTGCTAAGCATGGCATTCCTCATGCACATCTCACTCCAGTCAATCCACATGATATCTAGTTGGGTTTGGTTCAATGTTCATATGGTAAATACAATTTATTTATTATCTGTAACCATTATAAATCCAAATATCTTTTTTTTTCTTTTTGTGGGGATTTCTTGATGAAGTAGCTCTAGAGTGCAAGATTCCATACAGATATTTCTGAGATTAATTGATTCCAGGTATTGTGGATCATCTCATCTTTTATTTCAGCACATTTCCAATCTTCTATATAGTTAATTTTAGAAAAATATACACATCCTCTGTTGTGTTACACCACTGTTGCTTCTGGGAGGGTCAGGATATGACCCAGATTATAATAAGGGCCAAGGGGTCTGTTCTCATTTATGTTTAATCTGCCAGGGTTCTGTAAACGGTCTGGACCTGCATTAGTGGAATCCTTGAGTTAATCAGGTTTTGGCTTGGGCATTTCACTTCTTATTGGCCACTACAGCTTTCCAGAGAGCTCCAAGAAGAAAATGGCATAACCTTATCTTGAGATTCTCTTTCTTGGAAGATGGATATGCCCTAACTCAATCTCCCTCTGTCACTCCTGCATTTTTTTAAGAAAGGAGCTTTGAAGAGGAATAATGAGGTTCACATGTGTAACAGTGTAAGTATATAATGTAATATATCCTTACCTGGTTTAATCAATCATGGGATGCAAGTATTTTATGTCAGTAGTATAAACTGAGAGCACTTCAACATAATAAAATGTTAAGATCTTATAAATGTTGCTGCAAACATGCAGCTGGTGAATATGGATGCCAAGAAGATTAACATCTGGGAATGCCGTGTTACTTATAGCATATTTAGTAGCTCTATACAGAATTTGTTTATCTTTTCAAAGTGCATCTTTAATAACCACAAAAATAAAACTGCTGGTTTTATGTTATTTCATATGAATCTTTTATTGTTGCTTTAATCAATGTTAAACAATCTTTTTCTAAATTTTTTTTCTTAATATTTTCACTTCCTCCAATATTTGCTTTGAAACCCTACCTATAAGACATGCAAAATAAACTGAATATTTATAGTGGTTACCATCTATGCCTTGATTTGACACCACCACAATAAAACTGAAGATTTCTTTTCTCTTTTCCTTGAGGAAAAGCTCAGGAACAGCTCCTGAGATTTTCTAAAGGTTACCTTCTGTTAATTTTAGGGGGCAGTTGCAGTGTTTCATTTGACACAAACAATGAAGTGAAAAAACACTAGTATTTGTGGACCAGCAGTGGATTTACTCAAATGCATTTATACAGATAAAGAACAGAAACAAGGTTTTCCTTGAATACAATAATTACAGAATTCAAGGAAACTTTTTTTTCTTCCTGTGGACTCTTTCTGAGAAAAATACTGTTGAAATCTTAGCATTCCTTATAATATTTATCTGAAAATGCCTCATGTTTTCACCTATGTGAACATAAATCAGGAAGCCAAAATAATTGGTTTAAATTTGGAGTGAGAAAAAAAATCAAAAGTAGAAAATTGACAGATGCCAGTGTCATGCCTGAAGAAATGCAATGGTTCTCTTATTTAGATTTAATATAGTTCTAAAATAATTTCCTTAATTATTCTCTGCAGTACCAAGTTTAAAAGTCATTCAAGGAGCAAAACAAATTCAAATAATTAAGTATTTCATTGTACAAACTGTTCAGGCTGGAATGCTTAGCATGCAAAAGAATGAACCCCCAAATATTTGCATCTGCTTTGTCAACTAGTTCTGTATAGAGAAATTTCTACCAGAAAAACTAGTCCAAAAATCATTCTCCATCAGAAGCTTGAGAATAACAGAATCAGTCAAGAAATCTTTCAACTTATTTTATTACTTAATTTAGAAACAATTTATTTGTGTTGATGTAAATTATACTTCTGATCACAATGGCATTTTTTCTGGCTTTTGAAAACCAGTAATGAAAGTGAGCAAACCGTGTCAGTTATTTTTGGCCTATCTTTAATTTCACCTCTATCTGTGTTGAGACTGTAACAACAATAGGTATAGCGTTTGGAGAACACTAAATCCTTTGATTCGCTCCAAGCAGTACATGAAAAGTGATTATTATGTTGATTGTAAGTCAGGATGTCATTTTGGTATCTGCACTTTCCAGAATAGCTCAGATTTTCTATAGGAAAAGCTGGATCCTATTGAGTCAGCCACAGGTAGGAAGAAAGAAAAGTAAATGAATAATCAAGGAGATCATGTCCAGTCCTGAATTCAAAATATGTTTCATGAGAAGTCATTCCCTAGCTTTGAGAGCAGGTGCACTCTTATGTTCTACATTGGCAAGAACACTGGAAAAGCAGGACCTCAGAAGAACAATCAACTTCCATGTTCAGCTACTCTTAAAATGTTCTTGCATTTGGCATTTTTTTATTCCTAAAGTTTGTGAACTCAGATTTTGTTTATTTTTTAATCAGAAGAGCATCAGAAAAACAACAAGAGAAGTTAAGACTAGGCAGTGTACTTTGTCATCCTGTCATAAAAAGCAATTTGCTAGTATTGTTATTTCAGCACATTGTATATGATGTCTTTTTACCTGGAAGCCAAATTTAATTTCCAATGTGGTATGCTGAACACCCTCTTCCAGATTCAGAACTCACATAATCTGCAGTTTATTTCCAAATGTACATATTTGGGTTTCTTTTTTTCCTGTGACAAGGCATAATTTCTGGGCTAGTGTACAGATTCTGGTTTTCTTTGGTTCCTATACTGCAGCCTGACACTAGAGGGGGAAAGAACCAAACCAGTAGGAATAACTGTAGTATAGAAATAAGCGCAGTTTGATGATGTTAGTAACTCAATTTGAAAAAACTTAGAAAATTAATATCCCAAAAGTAAGTCTGAATATTTATTTTTTCTTAAGGCATAATTTACACTTCCAAATTTGTCAGCTGGCATGCTTGGTTGATCCGAACTGAAAGAACATAAAGGGGACATAAAACTGATTATATGCTGTATTTGTTAATTTATATCTTACAGTTTCATACCCTTAATTGTGAAATGTACTTCAACTGAGAAAATATGTCCCAGTCCAGCTGTGCACAATTCCATGATTTTCATCCATTCCAGAAAACCAGTAGGCCAGCATTCTCTCAGCCTGGTAGTCATAGGTCCTACCAAACACATAGGTCCTACAAAAACACAAAATGGCTGTCTCCATCCAGAGACAGCCCTGCTAGTGCAATACCCCAGGATTGTCTACCCATATCATTGCACTGGGAATGGAATAACAAGCTGTACCTTTTAGTTATGAAAGTCAGATACAAGAGTGATGTTCTTGTTAGATACTAAGTAAATGTCATCCTTAGCACAGGAGGCCTTCCATCAGTGATAATAAGCTGGATGCCTCAGCTGATTCAGATTAGTTTGCTTCATAATGTTGTTGCAGTGCTCAGTAATATCAGTGCTACTATAACTTCCATCTCCCAAATGTTCAGCTTTTTCAGCTGAAAAGAAACACCAGACCACCAAGGCTGAGTCCTTGCACATTGCACTTCCCTATTGAAATCTTTCTGTTCCCCTACTCACGCTGACAGAGCAGTGCCAGACAAAATCCAGGATGGTATCTTGGGAATTACCCACAATTGTTTTCACTTTTCAGAGTGGTGAGTGGCCTTCCATTGCCAGTCAGTCATCCTGCTCTGGATGATGGCTGGCCCCAGGTTATGGGCACAGTACAAATGGCAAGTCCAGGGACTTTCCCAGGTACAGATATGAATGAAATAATTTTTTCAGACGTTTTCTGTGAACACTACCTCTTGCTTGAAGATAGGTGTAAAACCATATGAATGCTAAGCAAAGTAGGGATATCTATATCCAGAACATTTTAACCGTAAGGGAGTATAATTACAAAATTGCAGCCCTAGACACCTGGCCATCTTTGTTTGTGTGTGTGTGTGTGTGTGTGTGTGTGTGTGTGTGTGAGTGTGTATGTGTGGGTTTTTTTTTCTTTCAGAAGCAGCGTGACACAGGTGACATTTGCCATAAAGCTCTTCCTACAGAAAAAATGCAAGCCTAGCTCGTTTCCAGTGTACGATAATAATTAAGGCTCCCATGAGTGAAACTCTGATACTTTTTTAGGTAATGATTAACCTTAAGCCCTTCTTCCCCCTTAAGTATTTGGATTAAAAGGGCAATACAGAGACTGAAGGCAGTAGGCATGAGTGGTTTATTCTCTAACTTTATGGACTAAAGGGTGGAGTCGTCTACAGGGTTCAGGAGCAGTAGGCCAGGCAGTGAGGGGATTGATCTTATCAGGACTAGAAAATAAACAGTTTATGTTTATGACCAAGTTGAATTCAGGATGTTTATAAGCTTCATCATACTGGTTTTACTGGTTCCAGCAATGTTTGTATGGTACAGACAGCAGCTATTGACTTTTCCATTTATTCAGCTCCATACTCTTCATTCCTCTGGGGATTCTGCTGTAATTAGAGAGTTTAGAGCATTTTATTTTACAGAAGTCTGGTGTTTAGAGTAAGGCTCTACTTGTCAAGACTTTAAGAGTCTATCTGTGGCTCTATATTAATATGACCTGGGGTAAGTCATATAACCACAGTTTTGATTCAGCTTCCCAGACTGGAAACCAATACCAACCTCAGAGAGGTTTATTCATTTGATTGAGATCTTTGTATAAAAGTTACTAGAAGAAAAACACTATGATTCACTATGGTTCTTATTAAGCTATAAATGTTCACTCTTTATTTTGGATAGAGAACAGATGTGGAGGGATGAAATTTCTCTGTTAGTCTCATTTTGTATGCCCTGATACCCTGATGTTTTATTGAAAAACTCTCCGCTGGGAACACGGGTATATGATTCCTGGGTGTTTTAGGTAGGTCACATCATGGAACAGTAATTTATGAAGTACTGAGCAGAGACTGACAAGGGCAGATCAGCAGCATGCCCCTCCTCCCCATGCACAGCTGACAGATCAGCTGGACTCCACTGCTGGTACTGAGGTACCTCTTTTACCTCCTTCTGGGTGCTTTGGTGTTCCAGCTGCTGGCAGAAACACATTTTCGGGACCAGTTCCAGCTGAAAAAGCTCAAGTTCCTGCAGAATCACACCTGCTTGGACAGACAAGCCCTGGAGCAGTTTGTACAGGTAAGAAGAAAGGGTTCCCATTATTTTGGCTCAAGCATTATTTTCATTAGAAGAAATTATACTACTGGAGCCAAGTAGCCAAGCATGATATAAACCAATCAGCTATCTATGATATTTAATATGTAACTTTAAATAACTCAGGCCCATTCATACACTTCTTTATCTTGATCTATGGAACTCCTTTCTTTCCACAGTCATGAACTCCCAAAATATAAGTGCATCTAGTGATGCACTTGTGCTACACTGCAATAATTCCAACTTCATGGTTCTCATCTCCCTCATTAATTATTACTGGGAATTATGCTTCAGAACAAAAAACAAGAATCAAACTTATAGAAGTAGGTTGCCCTTCCAAGGTTCTCCCATTCAAACCTGGCAAATTCTGCCCTTTTGTACTAGAAATTGTCTGCTACCTTTGAAAGTGGTCCTGCACTTCCAGGCCAGAAAAGATGAAGTCAAATCCATCACAAACTGTGTTATCTGTTGCCTATACGAAGAGATAAAAGGCTTTTTTTTGATACAGATTGTCAGTTAATGACAACTTCAATTACATTTTAATCTTTTCCTCAAAACTGGCTGGAGATAAAATACTAGACCTTTCCCAATATTATAGATATATTCTCATAATAGTACTGCAAGAACTGGACAGAAATCCTTTAACTTCGAATCCTTGAGTTTCTTTGTGCTCAGAACATACCCAGTTGCAGAGCTGGATGTCTAAACAGTTTGAATCTTTCTACTATGTCATTAAAACTGATAAAAACTCAAAACAATTTGTACTGCCCAAGTCAGAGGACTTCCATGAAGGCAAATTATTTTGATCAACAAAAAGCCCAGACTTCATATATGGATTTAAGTGAACAGTGAAGTTCAGATCAGAAAGGGTAGAAAAGGTGCCTGAACCTCTACATCTACAAAGCCAGTGTTCTGATTACTAATACTGTGATATATTACTTGTGAAACACTGGACATTGGCTAGAAAATGACTAGAGCATTCAAGAATTTACATGCCTAAAAACATGTCTATATTTTTCACCTTCATGACTTGGTGATATTACCTGTCCTTCCCTTATCTCTCCAACTGCAGAGGTGAAAACCCCGATTCTCATTCTAAGCCTAAGTGTGATACTTCATGGGATTGAAAGGTTTATTTAAATCACCACTACCCTCAGAAAATTAGAGGAGGTCACACATGTCCAGATTCTTCTCTCTCTGACTCCAGTGGACTTTTCTTAGGTCCACTGCTGTGCCACTCAGAGAATTGCATTTTGCTGCAGTGTATCTGCCGAATTAAACACAATTTCACTTGTGAGCTGTTTCAGATAAAACTGAGGCTGAGGGCACCAAATCAATTCACCAAGCTTCAAAGTATTGAGACTTGGTAGTCCTCAAGGTATACATAAGTGCAGGTACTCTCTGACCCATATGTTGCATATATGACCTGTCAACAAATTTGTCTCTTATTAATATAAGAGAACACTAGTCTTCCCGTATAAAATTTCTAATGCAGGGAAGCAGTTGTGTCTCTGCATGTTTAACTATGTGGTTAAGGAGACCTGTTCATCATGCCACAAGTTCCAGTCTGAAAACAGTAACAGTAGTTAGACTGCAGTGAGACACAGCCTCTGGGCTCAGTATATTCAGCTAACACATATAATATGTTGTCTTAATGTCTCATCTTAATGCTTGTTCTTTAAACCTAAATCCTGTAATGTGAGATTCAACAGAGAGAATTATTTTTTGCATATCTATTATGACTTATAATGAGTTACCACTTATAATTCATTAGCTTTTGACTCCATTGTGCATCAAACAAATTCTTGTAATTCCATGTCAATAAACTGCATTGGTTCTGCATAGCTAAAACTGCCTAGCTGAGAGATGGCTCTGAGCTGCATCTCCTAACATGGGCAGCCTGGAGCTTTTATCTAATGCATCTCTGGTAGGCATACGTTGATAAGGAAATTTTGCAAGTCTGACAGCACAGCTGAGAAGCAGATGCATTGAGTAAGGAGTCTGTGTTTTGATCATGTCCATACTTTTTCAGTTTCAAAGGACGTGATGTAAATACAGACCAAAAGGACCAAATTCTTGTCTATGACCAGGTGGCTGCAATATGCATTGACAGGGAGACAGGAGCAGAAACATCAGGCATATTTTATTCTCTCCACATCCTACTATAGCTTAATGTAGGTTTCATATTCTTATTGTAAATTACAACACATTGCTTTTATGTACTGAAGTACTTCTCACCCAAGGGCAACAGCTAATGTTCACCAACCATTCAGCAGCTGCCATAACCCTTACCTGACATGTAGATGAAAGCAGCCAGGAGCCATTATAACTGTCCTACAGGAACCTGTTTGTTGGGCACTGGGATGCCATTTCATTCATGGGGTTCTTAACATGGTTGTACTTAACAGCATCAGTTATACCAAGAAATCTGGCCTTGTTAGACTGTGCCTAAAAGGTTCCACACTCAAAGTTGCCTTACTCTTCTGTGTTGGCATTCATGATGTGAATGTAATTCCTGTGAACTCTTGTGTATTGAAATGCATAGAACTGTCTAGTGTTCCTTACAGGAATAAATTAAATCTTTGATTATTTCAAAATACTTACACCTCAGTAGCTTCTGTGTGTTTCTTCAAAGGAACAAATGAAATAAGTGACTATAGGAAATCTGACGTTAAATTATTCTCATTCTAAGAAAAGGTTTTTAATGGATAATGCAAAGTTCTTTGTCATATTGAAAATAAGCTCTGCTGACTCCTCGGTCATGAGGTCACACATGTTGATGTCCAGCAGCCCTCTGATAAATTTGGCCAATGCTTTAGGAATTTTTACTGAAGGAATCAAATTAGCTATTGTACTTAGGATGCTCAGTCCACCAGTACAGATCAGCTAATATTGCAGAATCTGTCCAAAATCAGATACCTTGTAGTAGTTATATTCACTAGAAAAGCAATCTTTCTGGGAGTGGTTAACATTTGAATCAAGAAAGAGTATCTTCTTGGATCTTATACTCCTGGAACCAGCTAAAGCTGGGGTTGCTATTGACTCCTGCTCATGTCTTGCATCATACAAAGCCTTTAGAAGAGATGAACAAGTAATTCCTTCAGGCATTTTGCAAAATTACAGAGGCTGTGACTAAGCCTTTGTAAGGTATGTGACAAACAAGGATATCCTTAAAACCCCATCCACTGAGCAGAGGAAAGCCAGTCTCCCACAGAGAAATTCTTGGGCACAGCAAAGGAACACAATGTTCAGTAAGGCAGTCGACATCCTATTTGATGTAGGAACAGTAATTTTTTGGCACACAGTAGTTTTGGTCTGGTGAGAGCTATCTGGAATAGCAGAGAATATTTTATTCATTAATCTTTCAGATTAGGAGAAACCTAATATTCACTAAAAATTATATGGAAGTCATAGCAAAAAATAGTAATTCATCCTTACTAGTACTTAAATGGAGGAAGCAGAAATGAGCATGTTCCCCATGCCCTTGCCCACAAACACAATTCTATGTTTACACATGCATAAATTAAAAACTTGAATGAGATGACCAAATTACAAAAGGACAGAAGGGCAACTATTTTATTTTTATGGCACAACTTTAATTTTTTTTCCCAGTTTGATCACTTTAGGGAATCCTCCACCTCTTTCCCTTTAGATTTCATCTACCTGGTGAACCTATGGTACTTCAATGATCTGTTCTCCTGTAGCAAGTGTTCAAGTTCCTGGCCAGCTTTGTTTCCAAGTTTTGCTATGTCAGCAGAAGTTCTTTTCAGTCCAACTCTATCCTGTTATCTACACTGTTTATCACTTTGCTTGCTCAAGATGGAAAACAGTATTTACTTATCTCTATTTCCTGTATTCTTCCTCATCCTTGTTCCTTTGACCTTTTCTGTTTCATGTCCTCATGGAAGCATGGGAAAAAGGAGTCAACCAAGAAGGAAACACTACAAATTCCAGTAACTGGGACTTTAGCAACTCCTTTTTTGCAGGAACTGTTGTCACCACTATAGTTGAGGTACTCTCTTTCCTTAAAAACTAATGTTTCTTCCAGCTGTCCTGTAAAGTCCCCAGAAATGTGTAATTACTGGACAGAGTACAGCTGCAAGGCAATCAGCTACCGTGGGTTGTGATTTTCTATTGGTTTCCAATTATGCCCGTTATTTTTCTGTATCCAGTATTTTATACTCCCAAAAAAGCTGAGTGCCTGCTTGATACATGCAAGATTATTTTGTACATGGACAGCACATCTTTAGGTTGTTTTGAAGCACTCAGACACACTCAGCCACAAAATCAGAGACCTATAGAAAGTTACAATAATATCTGGAAGACTAATATTTTTCATGTTTAGTTTTCAGCTAGTAATAGTGAAAGCAAAAGGCTTCATCATAAGCAATGGCAATTTGCAGACAGATTTAATTGCAGAAAATCATAGATCTACAGGTTCCTGAAGCTTAATGTGGTTGAGCTTCCAAGCTTACGAACACCCCATGATGCCTGCAGCTTGACTATAGAGCCTTTTCATGTAACTGTTTTCTTCTTTATTTCCAGGTTATGGTCACCTGTCCACCAGCACAGTGACAGGGCAGACCTGTGTGTTTTATGCCTTATTTGGAGAGCCCCTCAACCTGGTCTTCCTTAATCAGCTGGAGAAATCTCTCAATGCTCATCTGCTTACCCTGGAAAGAGGGGTTCGAAAGTGAGGGCGTGCCCAGGTACAGTGTCAATTTACCATTTGTTTTCACTGTTTTAAAGCTAGTTAAAGTTCTTTTCTCAGATAGCTGCTGCTGCTGCTAGGTTTCCTTGTGTGAACCACAGGAGTTACATGGCCCTCTCTATCAGAAACATGATACAATCAATTTACCTACAATAGCTTTAAAGCTATAGGCTTTTGCTTGAGGTGCCCTAGATTTGCCTTTTTAAAACCTTACCCAGCAAAACCATAGATAGACCTGGTGACCTTGGCAGAATATGTGTGTCTACATACATTGCCAAATCAAGCTTTTATTCTCCAGCCTATGCCAGCATCTATCCAGAGTCTAGCTCTACACTGTGCAAAGGCAACTTATTTTTATTGGCCTAATGATCTGGATGGAATTAGCTTTCCTGATTGTGTCAGCAACTTAACACTTCCTTTTTTTTTCCTTAAAATGCGAATACTCTTTACTTATAGTTTATTGGTGAGCCATTGAACTAGTCCTGGCATTTTTTAATAAGAAAAGCACTGATAATGGAAAATACATGAAGGACATTTATTACAAGGTTAGTGCATGTTTCTGAGAGAAGGTTCAATGAATTGACCCCTTCAGTTAGGGAAAAGGGAGATTATACATGTGAGATATGTTGAAATATTTCAGAGTTCTGGCACGAGTTTTTTGTTTTACATTTGTAAAATCTCTTGAGTCACTACATTCTTTATTTACAATGGTAAAGCTATAAAGGTACTGTTAAATACAGACTTGGTTTATATAAGCATGAAATTCTTTAGCTACATAACCTCTGACTGCTCCCCAAACTCATGCAGCTCTACCACAAGAAGGATTTTCATATTAGTATAACTGCATCTTTCCTGGGATTTCTGATAGCAGCTTAGGGATGTGATCTATTTTTTCCCCTTTTCACTCCTAAGCTGACACTCATTTCTGACAGAACTCCTATGATCAGACAAAGCTTTGGAGCTGTATCTCCTTGTTTGCTCTGAAAAGTTTATTCAAGGATGTTGGTCTATCTCCTTATAAACAGAATTTTGTCATTCTCTGGGAAACTAATTTCAATCAGTTCGTCATTATTCCTGACTTATTGTTCCAAACATTACAGGTTTATACAAGAAAGTTCTTAAAAGACAGGTTAAAAAGTAAAATTGTTCATTTTGGTATACATTTTTTGCAAAGTTTATTATGTAATTGAACACTATTACAGTACTGGAATGAAGTAGTTAAGAACAACTGAATTATATATAACTATAATCATGTCAATCAGTAATTCTCAAACTGCTCTGCAAATGAGGCAAGTATAATTACACAGCTAGAGAGACACGATGCATAATATAGAAGTGACTTGTCAGAGTCACCCAGTCATCTCAAGCCAAGTTTCTCAAGCTCAGATCATTAAGTTTTATGTGAGATAATTCAGAGAGAGAAATTAAAACATGTTATCTGGACCTTCCACTTTAGCAAAAGTGGTTTGGCTTTTCATCCAGACACAACAGACTCATTAATAGAAAATCATATTCTGGTTTGATTGTCAGTGAGGGCATTCTTAAATGATTGCAATGAGCTTGCATCAGCCCACACATCATTACTCAAAAGTTCACTAAAATGTGCTCCCTGGAAACCCATGAGCTCCTGATCATCAGTCCTAAACTCCTAAAATCCGTTCAGGACCCATCCATTGACCATTCTGTGTACCTATCTACTGTAGTCACGTATACAGTAACGTATCTCCCCGAAGGCAGATGTTTTTCCTGAAAGGCACAGATCTGCCCTGTGCTAACACAAACCAGTTCAGCTCTGAACACTTCAAAGTTAAAAATGAAAGCAGGCAAACTGTTTTCACTTAGGTTTAATCCAAACATACTTCTTGGCTGAGCTCTTGCAAGCCACTTTATAAATCTTTGGAAGCAGTCATAGTGAAAAGAACCTTAATTTGCTCTTGCCAATCTTTTTTTTCATGAGTTATGCAGTACATGGTGATTTTCCCCAAAGACAAGCTAGTTACTACAAGAGCATCTCTACTTGAATTGAAATTGTAAAATGAGTATTTCATTCCAATGGCTGTCCTAGTAAGTCTGAAAATATGAGTGGAACACTCTTGAAAACTCATTATAAAAAGATTTTAAAAAATCCTCCTTTTATTCCTAATTTTAAGTTGTTGGTTTTTTTTTTCATGGTTAGGTACAATATCTATGTGTAGAGAATATTTTAACAGAACAAGGGCATGATATTTTACTAAAAGCCTGTCTGAACAAGCCAGCCTTTAATCCAGGTGACAATATTAAAGGCAGTGTCCTTGAAACTCTCCTGGAGCAGCAAGAATAAAGAAAAACAATAGCCTTGTGTATTGAAAAAAGAATGTAAAACAATATGCATTAACCAATAGTAGCTTGCTAAGCCCAGGAACCCTGTCGGACCCTATAAAAGTGTGCTAAAGATAGAAATAAACTACATTCGCTATACTTCTGTGAAGACTCGGTGAATAGTCTGAGCAGTTTTTCAATATCTATGTGCAGAGTAAACAGTGAGTTCAACCTGCAGTACATGGAAGCATTGTCTTATCCTTCTTTTTTTTTTGCTGTCACTCCCATGTGGGGTGGGTTTGTGATTCAAGAGTAAAACAGACACAGCAATTTTGACAACTGCTCCATGCTCTTTAGCTGCCATCTTCCTCTTCTCTTTCAGGTGGTTCAAACACTGGCAGTCGCCATCTTCCTGACCACTTGCTTTTTCCTGGTGTTCCCACCATTAGTTTTCAGTTATGTAGAAGGCTGGAGCTACTGAGAAGGCTTTTACTTCACCTTCATCACCCTGAGTACCATTGGATTTGTGGACTATGTAGCAGGTAAATAAGAACATGAACTGGATTGAGCTTTGTTGAAATTCATAACTCTAGTATAAAATTAAGTTCATGGAGCATAGATATCCATTCCATTATAGATCTGGTACAAGAGTGAGCTCAGCCAGACTGGTAACAATAAGCATATTACAGGATATGTGTAGAGAATATTTTAACAGAGTGAAAGCATGATATTTTGCTAAAAGCCTGTCTGCACAAACCAGCCTTTGGTATAAGCGACGATATTAAAGGCTAGTGCCCTTAAAACTCTCCTGGAGCAGCAAGAATGAAAGAAAAACAATAGCCTTGTGTACAGGAGAAAAAATGTAAAACAATATGCATTAGCCAATAGTGTCTTGCTTAGCCCACAGACCCTTTCAGACCCTATAAAAGGTGTGCTAAAGATAGAAATAAACGACATTCACCATACTTCTGTGAAGACTCGGCTGAATAGTCTGAGTGGTTTCTCAATAGATATGAGCATTTTCCTCTTGACAGCCAGCCTGAGAGTCACCCAACTCATTTCACACATGCCACTGAACACTCATTCAACAGTGGCTGTGTCCAGGCTGGTACAAACGTTATCAAGAGTGAAAGGTGGAATACAAATAAAATTCCTTTTCCAGTATTAAGCCTTTGAGCCACACTCTCCCAACACTGATTTGCTTTAGCAAGTGCCTAATATTCCCAACAACAAATCATATCAAATATTAAATAATCAGTTCTTAAAATGGAGAGAAGGTTACTGACAACCACAGAATAACTCCGAAAGAAAACAAACCCAGTGACATTACACAGTCTTTAGATCTCTGCATTGAGAACATCATGGTAGAGACACATGAGGGGCTATTTTTCCACACACTTATTTGAACAAATGCATATCTTAACAGATTATGTCTAATGTGTTTATTTGTTAAAACCACTAGGGTTTCTTACTTCACAAGTAGTAGCTCTTCTCTCCTAGAGGTCATAACTATGTCCCAAAAGGAGATTAAAAATCCCGTGCTGAATCTGGCACCGTGGAGTTTCATGAGTCTATCAGCTGCACTGATTGTCCATGTTGTGGAAACATCAACCCGGGGATTAAGATTCTCATAATCAATTAAAATGGCTACATTTCCCATATTACCCAAGTGATTGTGAATCCCAGGTACTGAGGTAATATCACCCTCCAAAAAGCAATCACTGCATCACTAAATTGTACCTTTCTAAATCATCTAAGATCCTCTGTGTGCTTCTTGAGTAAAATATGGTTAATATGAATTCAAAATTTAATTTCCAAGATTTTTTTCCTTTGTTGTTGGCTAGAAACCATTGACTTTGAGCATCCCTGATTCATATTAGATATGGTAATTTTTATTATATAACCACAGCTTCAGGGATTTCATGCTAACTGTGCTAAGCTCAACCTGAGAGTTGGCATGAAAAAAAGTGCATCTGCTGATGGATCACACAAGCTCATTACCACATACACTTTTGCAAGGAGTGGGGAGCATGTATGAGTATGTATGTTTAGCAGACCAAAGCTGCCAAGATAAGTATTTTCTTGGATTTTTCAGACACAAATCCCAACAAGCACTATATCCCCATGTATAGGAGCCTAACTGCAATATGGAGTGTTTTTGGCTTGGCCTGGCTGGCTCTGGTCTCAGTGTGGGAGCTGACTTGATGGAAAGATACCTTCAGCTAAAGTGGCACAAGTCTGACTTAAGCTTGGCAGAAGGAGACGCTACCAAATTGGAAGATGAACCTGAGCAGCCTAGAATCCATATCCCTAGCTGATCAAGGTATAAAGAAAACAATCCTGAAACTGCATCTTCCATCTGTATCTCACACTAAGTGAGCCCTCTGGATAAAGGACTAAACCACAGGTTGTGGACTGTGTGGGGAGCTAGGGTACAGCGGTCGGAAGATTTCAGGATGTAACGGAAAGATAGAGTCACCCCCCTCCTCTATGGTAATGACCCCCATAATTAGCCAATAGCACCTAGCTGTGATGAAAGCAGACGGGACTGACACTGTGAACCTAGGTTATAAAGTGTCAAATTCTTCACCAATAAACGCCATTTTGCTATCCATCACATTGGTGTTGTGTGCAAATGGACTGAGTGACCTGGGGAGGGTCACCGTGCCATTCCTGAACCAGGTCGTCTGTCTCACTGAAGGCAACAGGACTGTTTCCTAAAGAGGAAATGTTTCAGATCCATGGAAATTTACAGACCCTGTGTAGGCATCAGCCTGTTAAAACCCCAAGGAAGGAGCATACATGGTTACACAACTGTCCCAGGATTCATTTTACACTTCTCATTCTAAGGCAACTCCCCTGAAGTAATCAGTTATTATCCTTTCTCTAATGTGAGAACTCTCAGTTCTTATGGTCACTCATTTTCAAAAAAATCTGGAGTGACTGCCTCCCACCTTCAATAAGAAGTCATTTCACCAAGAATCTCAAGTGGAAAAAGTCAGGTACAGAAATCTTTCTTAATTTCCAATCAGAAAACAAACGAAACTACAGAAGAATATATTATCAGTTATGAACACTTGCTTAATGACATCTGCCTAATTAAGATTCAGTTGATATTGTCTGAAATGAACAGCTTTCATATAAAATGACACCATTTCTTTATTTTCTGGGCTAAAATCCTTCTCATTTAATTGTGAGAAAATTATGTGTCTGTCCAGCTCTGCCTGGACTGTTGCAATTTGTCTCAGAGCAAACTGCCAGTTCAAAGCAGGTCCATATCACAGGTCATTTCAAGCCACTTTAAAGCAGCACTTGAAACTAAATCGAAAAGCAAAGAGACATCCTTATTTCCAGCCAGATCACAAATATCATTAGAGCCTGGAAGTTGCTTTAGGCCAGTTCATAGAAGAGCTTTTTTGCACCATACAGAAATGATGCTTTACATTTACCTCTAAATAAGGCCAATGATAGATTCTTGCATTAAATCTCATCATCAGTCAGGCCCACTGTGTGAAACATGGAGATTGAATTTACTCGTTATTGTAAATCAAAAGCAGCAGCAGCAGCCATCCCCAAAGGAGCTAAAAAACTGAAGTACATATAAGCACCTAAGAAGAGACTAGTCACTGAGATGCAGATCTGTAGTCATCCTCTCTATTAAAGTAAACTCCAGAAACTTGATAAAACAGTTATCCGTTCATTTGGGTACCATGTTCAATCATCACTAACACATTCCATGGGTATGCTTGTAATTATATATACACACATCTATTTATTCAGTATATTTATATCTCATAGTAGCCATCAACTAATCCCTTTGAACTCATTTATGGATGGAACTTGAATGTAAAGGATGAGTGAAATATGGCTGGGTATGTAGATTATCCCCAAGTTAGCACATGTATGACGGACTATAGGAGCACCAAATGTCAAACTTTCAGCAGCTGCTTTGACATTTCATTTTGGAGACGTATGCATAAAACATGTAGAGACTTGTGTAGGTCACTAATTCTTTTCCTTCATACTTTCTGAGCTAGATTTTTACTTCTGAAGAGAGTCACAACAGATATTTGTTCTTACATCTGACAAGGTGCACATTTTCTTTGCCAGTTGCTGACTCATGCATAGTGCAGTGTGGCTAGTCAAATCTGAAATGCTGGCATATAAGAATGCTGGTTATGGTTTATTCAACTAATTTTAAAAATTAATGTTCAAATGCTTATCCTATCCAACATTTCCCTCATGTCTTACCACTACCTACCTCACAGATTTTTATCCTGTTTTTGCACTGATCTTCCCCTATGCCCTCAGCTATTCCCATAAATGTATGCAATGGCTTTCTCTGTATACTTTCACTGAGAGCAGCCAGCTCTCTCCTGTCTGGCTTTGCAAATCTCACAGGAAGCTTTGTCTTTCTGTATTTTCTGTTCTTTGGACACAATGTTTGCACTTGCACTTGTTAACATCATCACCATCACTGTACTCTGTCCCTGCCTTGAGTTAACACTGAGACACTTTTGGCCTCTTCATGTAAAAGACAAAACTGAAGTTCTGCTGACTTCTATATCTAAACCGTTTTCTTCACCTTGTGTTTTTCCACGCCCTGTGTTTTTCCATACCTTCTGTATTTTATTGAGCCACTGTCAGCCATAGCACATGCACTAGTCTAAAGGTGATCCTATCCAGTGTTTTACACTGTGCTGTGTGCCATAAAAAAATTATAAAGGGGCTTATCAGAGATAGAAAGCACTTACTGAAAAAGTGTTTCTTAAAATTATCCTTACTTGATATCTGACTGCAGGAAGTTTGGATTGTTTTTACTGCAGTCCAGAAAATTGCTCCTGTATCTGATATTGATTTTGCAAAGTAGCAGCAAATGGTAAGACTACCTGTCTCGGTTTTAGAAGACAGGTGTCTGCTGGGGAGGGCAGGAGCCTCCCTTGGAATGAGAAAATGTAGACCCCCTCCCTCCAAATTATTATAATTCTGAAATCAAGGGGCTCTCAGGCAGAGATCTGGGGATAGGAATAACAGTTCTTTACTAGTATTTATAACAAGGCAAACAAACAACAATAACTACAGCATTAACAACAGAACAGAACCAGGGACCCCGTGACAGCTTTCTCGGCTGAGACGAGAAGGGATGGAGGAGAGGCTTTGCTTCACAAACCCCCTCGGGCGGGCAGTCCCGGGGCTCTGAGGAACAGTCGGCTGGAACAGCAGGGATAAGCTGAGATCCTGGGCCGGTGGCTGAGGTGTATCAGCAGCTCTGCGGCGGTGGCTGAAACTGCTACATGTCCCAGCAGGACAGGGGGTGCGAGGCCACCAACAAAGAGGGAAGAAGGAGAAGAAGCAGCAGCTCCGTCTGGGTGATGGCGAAATTCCCTTCTCCCCACCGCAACAGCTCTCCCCCAAGTGTCCTTCTCCAAAGCTGAAGAAAACCCGCCAAACTGTCCCCGCCCTCCTTTTTTCCTGCCCCCTCCCCTTGCTGTGCCCCGGCTGAACTCTTTGTGTTTTCTCAAGGTCTCACCAAGTACCCACAGTTAGGTTGTCCCCCGCAACTAATGGCTAAAAATTCCACAGGCAAGCCAGAACTAAAAAAAAAAAAGACACCTAACCCCCAACACTACCTCCTGGATTTTTTGCTACTGCTATATTGACTAAAGTATCTGCCGCAGTTCTCCAGCTGCCTAACAGAAGACTCAGAAAGCTACCTTTGAATCAAGCATATGGCCATGTTGGAAGAGAAATGAGAAGGATACTGATGCCCTCTCTTGTGCTATATAAGCAATAGAAATTTCTTGCTTATTTTGTCAATTTTTCAAGTTTCTGAAAAGCTCCTAAAGGTTATGCACATCTATAATAAAAGTTACTTTGAGATGCCTACTGGGAGCACCGGCCCAAGTTTTGAGCATGGATGGACCAAATGCTTTCTGGTAGTGTTCCTCTAATAAAAGTGTAGTCATCAAGTACCAACTGACCAGCTAAGAAAAGTAATGTGGAAGAACTGCACAATCACAAGGACTTGCTATAGGCCAGAGGAAGGCACAAAAGGGATTATTTTGGTTTAATAACACATTTTACCAGGGGTATATTTCTGCCCAGAATGAACACACATGCTCCGCTCCAAGCATGGAAAACAGCACTTTTGCAGCCTCTGAATGTGGCTCTGCAGGCTGTTGCATAAGCAATGGCCCAGGCAGTGTTCATCTGTGATGTTGAAAAGTAGTACTTTGTCCTGAGCAGCTACCACCTGAAGTTCAGGGCAGGACAAGAAGCAAATGTCCTTCCAGGCTTACACTTACTTTTAGCCTACTCAATAAGCCCTTCTTCATCCTCAGATACACATGCTGTCCTTCCAGACAACATCAAAGTATCATTGGCAAAGATTTGAGCGTTTCTCTGTGGAGATGTAAATAAAAGACTGACAGACAAGTGACTTTTCTGATAATACTCAAGAAAACACCCATTTAAATATTATATGACTGTGTGAAGATTTGTTGTGAATCTTGATCTCTTTCTTCCCAAATTCCTTCTAGTAAGCACGACTGATCTTGTGTTTCCACAGCATGTGTTGTAGTTAAAAACCCTGAGTCTCACCTGTAATTATTTTTATATATTTTTAGTATAAACATTAAATTCTATATGATTAGTCAATAATGTTTCAACATAGTTATGCTCAGTGTGCTTTGTATTAACTCTCTGGGTTTAAATGCAGCTAAAATGTCAAAATGCAGCTCAGTCTATTTCCTGATCTTAAATGTGATGAGTAAATATATACCTTTTAGCACCCTTGCAATTTTTTCTTATATATATATATTTATAGAAGGTTTTATTTTATATGTATATGCAATTCCATTTTTATCTTTAAATATCACTGAGTAATGAATACCTTGAAAAGGCAAAATTAAGACTGACCAATAAGCAGCATTTTTTTTTCTAAGACTGCTTTGGCTGATTTTGTTACACTGGAATTGGTCTAGCTTTTGCACATTAATTATTGCATCTTGTCAGTGGAATCATATGTTTATGCTAGTCAGTTTAAAGCACATCTCAGATAACCATGAATTAGCATGTTACCAGAACATTTTCAGGGGGGCAATATATGTTTGGAGGCTGCCTTGCTTGTAACAGTACATACACTTCCCTGGCAAAAATAATCACAGGGCAGCATGAGAAGACATTACCCTCTGACAGTGTATAAAGTTATCCTGTGCAGAAACTTACTGGGTTTATTCCCCTTTTTCTCATATTATGTAACAAAATTGGCAAATTACAAAGTTCTTATATGCCAAAAATTATTTGATTGTTTTATCTACCAGTGATAGAACAGAAAGGAACATTGGATGCAGTCTTATACAAGAGAGTAATTAATCAAATAGGTCTCAGAATCTATGTATATGAAGAAAGTCGTCCTATCTTTCACAGGAAAACCACAAATTATAAAAGGACTGAAAAACCTGCTACCTTTTCACTTCTTTCTATCAAAGAATTGTTATCACAAACACCTGATTGCTGCCTTTTAAATTAGCATAGCAGCTGAGTGAAAGAGGAATGCAGATTTATGCAGGATGCTAGCGTACTGCTCTCGAAGTAATCAATCTTGGCCATCTAGAGAGAGACTATGTATCATCCCTCGGGAGAGCAAACGCGACTGGGAGCTGGCTCCTGCTCAAGAACAAGCGGCGCGGAGCAGGGAGTCCTGGGAAGCCTCGAGTTTTGGGATAGACAGGTGAGAAGCGGAGCGGCGCAAGAGAAGGATGATGGGTGGCGGGGCGGGCTGTCGTAGGACGAGCGGCACGATCACCTTCATTCCCCGGCACAGCTGGGCTCTAGGCTCCCCTCCTCGCTGTGGAGGGTGGGAAGGGACAGGCAGGGGGAGGTGCTAAGGGCTGGGCGCCCTGCCGGGCCGGCGCCGCTCACCTCCCGCGGGGGATCGCGCTCCCGCTCTAGGCCGAGCCGCTTCTTCAGCGCCGGGGGCGGCAGCGGTGGTAGCGGGACCGATGGTGGCGGCGCGGCAGCGGCGGCGCTGGGGGGTGCCGGTGCTGCTGGCGGCATACGTGGGCTACCTGGGGCTGGGCGCCGCCGTGCTGCAGGCGCTGGAGCGGCCGGCCGAGGTGCAGGCGGCCCAGCACCTCCTCCGGGAGCACTGGGAGCTGCTGACCAACCACACCTGTCTGCAGGGGCCCGCCCTGCAGCGGCTCATCGAGGTGAGCCCGGGCGCGGCGACCGAGCGGAGCTGAGCACCTGCTGGTTCTGCGGGGCAGGTGCTGCCTCCGGCCCGGGGGAGGAGAGCGGGGCGGCAGTGGCACCGGCACCAACCGCGCCTCCAGTCCGAGAGTAACTTTAAAAAAAAAAACAACAAAAATCCCAAGACTTTTTCCCTGTGTAAGTGTATGCGCACGCATCATCTGTTTCTAAGAAGCCGCCCACGGCGTGGGAGCTTTCCGGGAGTGCGGGCCCTCAGCGCCGCACTCCGGGCTGCGGCCGCCTGTGCTCTCTGACAGAGACATGCTATCGTTCTCCGTTGCCGTCCCACGAGCTGCGGCGTTCGCGGATTTGGAAGAGCCGCGGTCCTGACCGAAGGGAGGCGGTGGCGGAGCGTCCCCTTACGTGACAATTACCTACGGTTAATTATAGATGGTTTAGGTTTGGTCTTGCATTTACGAAGCACGAGTTATAGTCTGTGACGTCTTGCACGTGGTAAATTCTAATGGGAAGGCCTTGTTGTGGTAAATTTAATTGATGTTTATACTAGTGTCAAACTTCTTCCATCTTCTACTTGTTATTTAAAGGGAAATAGGAAGTCCTTAGGTCTCTTAAGTTATCCTTGAAAATGCTTCTGAAGATATTTGCAGGATGGTTGCAAAATGTAAAGCAACAACAAATGCAGTCTTACTAAGGTACAGATGGTTGCATTTTTATGATACAGATACGAGCAAAGTGACATAAATGGCTTGTCTCTTTGCCCAGCTTTTGCCTGAAAAAGAAAAACCTATAATATTAAAGTGTCTTGAGAATTGACCCAAGCCCTTTGATTTCAGTAGGTGCTGGAGTGTGTACTCCTTGCTTTTGTGTGCTTGCTTCAAGTAGATGTTGCTAAACACAAAGAGAACTTGGGGTTAGTTTGTTCTGGTGGGTGTTTGTTTGTAAAAGCAGTGTATGATGGTGACTGAAACCATAGCAGCTGGTCACCACAGTTCAAGGAATCTAAAAGAAGCTTGGATATATACTTTGTTGTTGTTGATGTTTTTCTTCCCCTGTCCAGCAGAGATGAAAATACAGAAGCCATCAAATAGGGTAATCATGTCGGGTATTTCAGCAAGGCTCTGGCAGACAAAATTATGCTGATGCCCTATGTCTTGCTCTCATCCCTTGGCTTTCTGGATGGTTTATTCTCTGTTGGCAGTCAGTAGTACAGTGATAATATGCTATAAATTCGGACCTTTGTAAGCTACTATAGTACCCACTTTTATTATTTATGGTGTGTGTTGTGCTAGTGGTGGTGGAATTTAAATAGAAGTGAGAAATATAGCAGAGAAGACCAGTCTGGCATTTCATAAAGCTGGATCTTAGCTAAACTTCATTCAGCACTGGCCCATTGTGTAGTGAGCATTATGTAGTGAGCTGTATGACATTTACCCAAGGGTTGCAAGGGCTTGGTGAATGATGGTAATGAGGTATAGTAGTGGAGAGAAGAGAATTACAACTAAATAGGTAGAAATGTCATTCTGTCGATTTATTTTACTGCAGCATGACCTCCACTCATTCTTGATATCCCTGGAATAGGGGAATAGAACATCTACTCAAATCCCTTTAGACCAGAGGCTGTTAGAATATGCAGTGTGCGTACTTAATTGTGACTGAGCAAGCCCTTGATGGGAAGTTACAAATAAGCTTTGTTTCATTTTATGCAGTGTCTGTTTGTGCCTTCATGCTCTGAGAAACCATACTCTGAGTTTGAATGGCTTTGTGTGTTATTCAAAATAACTTTAACATTGAGAAATTAATCTTTAAAAATCCACAGAACTGATGCTTTCCTATACTCTTTTCTAATTCCCTATGCAACAATCACTGGCATTCTCTAGATGTGCTCAAAAAGAGAAGTTTTTCTGTGCAGTAAATTGTTAATGCAGTACATTGCACATAGTTTATCAGGCAGTGTCATCACCGACTGTCTTCAGATAAGAAACGTGTATTCTAGATACACAACTGATTATTTGCTTATTAAGACATACAAAGACTGTTTGTGAAAATGTAAAGCAGCATGCGAATTTTAATTGCCTTGACATTACTGTCAATTCCTCATTGTTTTCTTATAGCTCTTTTATTCCAGATAATCCTAAACTGTGTTTATTTTAAGTGTATAGGGGCCAATATGAAATAAAATCCTAGTTTGCTGAGCAATATACAAATGCAATTTTACAACCTGTTTATCTCTTAGTTCCTAGTTACCAATGGAGAGTGGAAATCCACTGTTCCAACAGTGCAGATGGAAGAGAAACAGAGCTCCAGCTTTGAGGAGCTAGCAGGAGAGCATGGAGTGAGGATGGGCAGGAGGGAAGCAAAGCAAACAAACCATGCTGGAGTAGCTAGACCAGTGAATTACCATTCAGTATTTTCTGTGACTCGGGTCCTTTCCAAGGAAGAAGCAGTCTTCTAGCTAACAAAGGAAAGAACAAAAGAAGGTGAAAATAGCAGACCAGCAACAAAAACAGCAGTGGAGAAGAGCATGTTAGAAAGCATGTCACATCTGTGGTGGTGGGCCCCTGCTTCCTGTAGCTGGATTTTGTTGTGGCTCTCCTGCCTAGAGGGATTGGCCAGCTTTTCCCCTGCAGGACCAGTTCCACATTTCCTGAGTAGTTGAAAGTAGCACGTGCAAATGCTTTACATGTAAGCAAATAAACAATGCGTGGTCTTGTGTCTATACACTCACATAGGGCACAATGGAGGCACTGTGGCCACAAGTCTCTCTACAGTGCACCCAGTGGTGTTTACTTAAGGAACACAAGCTTGACTTTGTTGAACCATCTAACTCCAGGATATTGTTCTGCCATTGTATACAGTCTGAATGAACACATGCTGGTCAGGAACAAGACTGAGAGCAGGCCATTGAGCCATTAGGGAACATGCAAAGAGGGAAATATCTGGCCTTTTAGTATCATTATGTGGTGGTCTTTACATGCTAGAATTACTGGGTGTTGAGGTCACATCAGAGGAAGTTCCCAATGACAAGACTTGCAGAACATGGCAGCAGATGCAATGATAAGACAGATTGCAGGTGATGTACTTTCAATACAATGAAGAAAAGCAGCTGGACTCAGCTGGGGAGAAAAATCTATGTCAAGGCAAAAATTATGTTGGTTCTAGATTCTGAGGTGTCCAGAAAGTGAGGCTGCACACAAAAAAGACACTTTCTGTATTGGCATATTTCTTGGGGCTGAAGCCCTTTCTGACCTTTTGGAGTTTGTAGCACATTTGGTTGTGAATAATTTCTAGTGCAAAAGTGCCTCAGTTTTACTGCCTAGTGTGAATGTGTCCAGCTGAGCTCCAAACTCATTTCTTCTCCTGAATAATTTTCAATGGTTACTCAGGTTACTTCAGGCACTCAGCTGTTGTGTCTCTTGCCAGTGTCTCTTTAATCAGGTGATTTGCTGTAGGGCCAAGCTTGGAACAGCACTTTATGTGTGTTACTGTATTACAGTGACATCTGTTTCATGCTATCTTTCCTTTTTTTCATAGAAACATTTTGTGTTATATACATAGTACAGATGTTTCCTGTATTTACTATGTTGTTCTGTTGGGTTTTTATTGTAGCTATATATAATGCTGTTTAAATGCAGTTACTTTCATAAATGAGAAAATGAAAGCTGAGCTAATTTTTTTTTTTTGGCCTAAAAAATTTCAAGGTATAGTAAAAAAGAACTAATGCTAAAGGGCAGGTTATAAACTAAATGGCTGCAGGTGGATCTAGATACTGTTATCTCCAGAGTCAACAGCTAGATGTACATAGAGTTTGAGGAGATGTTTACAAGAGCATTGAGATCCCACGTGACTGGAAGATCCTCATCAATACCTTGGCTTGTACTGACATTGAACCAGCAGAGAATTGTGGCTGCTGTCAGGAAATAAAACCTTGCAAACACAGTTTACTAAAATAATCTTGCACTCAGATGATGCAACAGGAAGAGGTGAGCATCAGAGATCACCTGCCAGTGGTGAGGGTTTTTAAGGAACAGCAATGGCTCCTGGTATTGTGGAGCTGTAATATCTATATAGAACCCAATTTGGTCAAATTAACTCATCTCAGATGTAATAGGGTTGATCCCCTGTAATTGTTCCTTTCAGCTTCATGCTTATCAAAATGTACTACTACTTTGCTTAAGTTGCAGCCAGTTCATCATTTTCCAGACCTGTGTATTAAAAGAGCTGTGGGGGCCTTACCAAGTATGTGCATTCTGTGCCAATAATACCATCTTCTACCTTACGTTTGACAGAAGTTGTTGAAGGTAAAATCATTATTCTAGAAGGCAGTAGGCTGGCACTATATTGGACTTCTTGGAAGGTGACAAGAAGACATACTGATGACCTCTTTCTGGTTGGTTGACTTAGCCCTAGGTCTTCTGGTAGTGTCTAGTACCTGTGTTCAAAAAGAGAAAGGCAAGAGAAAAAACATAGCGGCCTATTATATCATACCTGTGCCTAAAGAGATACTTTTGATATTATCAAATTTCCAGTTACAGTTAGTCAGGCTTGGTGGGAAGTAACAAAGGAGTGTAGCTGGCATGGAGTGGTGAGTGTCTCCTGTCCTACCAGAAGGTTTGAGACTCATAACTAGCAGTTGTGAACAGCTAAAGAATGGGGATGCCTTCTAAAAAGAGAAATGCTAATTCTTATCAGTTGTTTGAAGATGTGAGTTATTCTTATATGTACTTGTTCTTCATACTTTCATGCTATTTAAAGGAAAACAACTAGGGAAAGAAATCTCAGTTTTACAAGGATAATACAATGCAACCTTTCTGTGTTCTCTAAATTATACAGGCAGCTTCTTTGAATTTTCAACAGGCTCTGCCTATTTCTGTGGCAGCCCAGCTGTTGAGTAACTGTTCTTATTGGGGTTTGGGAAGTAACTGGCATTCAGCAACCCTTTATCTCATGAATCATGCCACAGGTTCTTCTTTGATATAAAAGCTTAATTTTCAGAAAGTAC